TGCAGAGCCCAGGACGGAACCAAGAAGCCACTGCCTGACCACACACCTGCCCCGATCCGGAATGATGACTCACTCAGCCTCCTCAAATGCTGGAGAAGAGAGAACACCGGGGACGGGTCTCCACCGAGCAGAAAGGCAGAGCAGAGGAGTAAAGAGTTCAAGGTAACGAGCGTAACACTGGTCAATGAGCTAAAAAAACACACAAAACCATCAAATGGATGCCTTATAAAAGAGGAACAGAATAAAGATCAAGAAATTATGAGACAATTACACTTAGAAGTCATGGATCTAAAATATGCTATAACCAAATTAAAAAATACAGCAGAGAGCCTCAATAGCAGATAAATGCAAGCAGTGGAGAGAACTAATGAACGCAAAGGCACAACATGTGAGAACACACAGAACAAGAAAGAGGGGGAAAAAATTTAAAAATGAAACTAAGAGCCCACTGGGATAATCTAAAGGAAATAGCATTCATACCATGGGGTCCCAGAGGGAGAAAAGTACAGAAATATTATTTAAAGAAATAATTGGTAAGAACCATATCAATCTGGGAAATAAAGCAGACACCATCATCCAAAGGCCCAAAGTGTTCTAAACAAAATAATATCAGACAGACAGACACGTTATTATTATAATATGTCAAGAGCCTTTGACAAGGACAGACATTAAAAATGTGAAGAGAAAAAAGAATAACCCATAAGGGGACACCAGTCAGACTGTCAGCAGACTTTTCAGCAGAAACATTACAAGCACAAAGGGACAAGAAAGAGATATTTAAAATATTTAACGAAAAAAATGTCCTGCCCAGAATCCTCTATCCAGCAAGATAAAGAAGAGCCCATTATATACTAACCTCAGTAAAACCCTCAAGCAAAAAATAATGGAAATAACACATAAGACAACTGAACTGAAACTAAAAGCATAATTGAAAGCCCTAAAAAAAAAAAAGACAAAACTGTAAACATGAAATAGAAATAAGCATTTATATCTCAATAATCACTTTAAATGCAATGGCCTAAACTAGTCAGTCAAAGGGTAAAGAGTGGCTGAATGGATTTCAAAACAAAGTTCGACCTTCTGCCATTCATCAGAAACTCACCTTACTAACAAAGACCAATACAGACAAAGAGTTAAAGGCTGTAAGACAGTTATACAAGCACATGGCAACCACAAAATATCAGGAACAGCTAGACTTATATCTGATCAAATACTTACAATTATGAAAAGTAGTAAGTAAGAGATAATGAACAACACTTTTCTGATTAAGGGTCTGTTACAACGAGAAGAATTAACATTCATAAATACATACGTACCAAATGATGGAATACTGACATACCCCAGCAGTTGGTAACAGAGCTGCAGATATGTTGATAACAACACAGTAATATTCGGGAAGCTTACTAACCTACTTACAGTAAAGGACAGCTCAACAAAACAAGGATAAATAAGGGAACGGCAGCTTTAAGTGAGGAGCTAGATTAATAGGCCTAAAAGGCATCTACAGAACATTCTGCACAAAACCACTACATGATTTTTTTTTTTCAAGTGCACATAGAATATTTTCAAGAATAGATCATATTTTGGGACACAAGTCAACTGTCAATAAAACCACAAAGATCAAAATTATACCTAGTACCATCTCTGACTGCAACACCATAAAAAGGAAAAACTATGACTACATGGAGATTAAACAACATGTTGCTTAACAGCAATTGAATAAAAGAGGACTATTAAAGCAAAAATTGAAAAAAAAAACCTTGTGATGAACAGAAATGATAGATGTTACCAGGATCTCTGGGATGCAGCAAAAGTGGCACTAAGGGAGAAGATAACTGCAATACAGACCAATATTAAAAAGCAAGAAAAATCTCAAACAACCTAATATCGCCTCTAAAGCAAGTCAAAGAGGAGGAACGAAAAAGACCCAAAGTTAGCACAAGGAAGGAAATACTTGAAATAAGGATGGAAAGAAATGAAATAGAGCCCAAAAAGACTACACAAAAAAAAGAAAAAAGAAAAAGAAATTAACACTTGGTTCTTTGAGAAGGAAACTCTCTAGCTAGGCTAACAAAAAAAGGAGAAATCATTACTAAACAGAGTCACAAATGAAAGAGGCGCAGTCACTACAGACAGCAGAGAAACACAGAAGACCCTTGGGGGACTGTGGACCACTGCATGCCGATACACTTGGTAACCTTGAAGAAAGGTATAAAATTCTAAATCTACCAAGACCAACCTAGGAAGAAAAACAGGAACTGAACAAACTGGTAATGAACATGGAAATCAAAATCTTTCGGAAAAGCAAAGGTCCAGGACAAGCTGCTTTACAAAAGAATTCTATCAGACATTAAAAGATGAACTAATGCCCCCCCCCCCGCTAAATAGTTTTTAACCACACAACTAGGAAGGATGGTCCCCGACACCTTGTATGATGCCAACATTACCTTAAAATCCAAACCGCAAGAAAAAAATAAGTAGCACCACATCCCTGACACACATCGACACGAAAGTTTTCCACAGAACACTAGCAAGTAACAGTCAACAGGATCATACGCCACGATCAAGCGGCATTTAGCCAAGGGGTGCAAGGATGGCTCAATACGCACAAATCAGTCACTGTCATACACTGTGTCAGCAAAGAGGAAAGACAGAACCCAAACGACAATATTGACAGGTACAGGGAAAGTATGTGGTAAGATCCAGCACCCACTAGTGATAAAGACGCCGAACAGGAGGGGAGGAAGAGGCCCCTCCTCGATGTGGAAGAGAGCGCACGCCAGAGGCTAACAGCCAGCCGGCCCTGAGGCCAAAGGCCGGAAGCTTCCCCAGGATCCAGCGCAGGCCGAGGACGGCGCTGTCGCCCCTTCTGCGGGCCATGGAGGTTTTGGCCAGAGCGCTCAGACAGACGCAGGAGACAAAGGGACTCCAGGTCAGAAAGGGGAAGCACAGCGATAGCCATTGCAGACGACGGCGCTATATTTAGAAAACCCCGAAGATGACACCGAAAAAAAACAGCGGAAGCAAAAAAGTGTTTTTAAAGCAAAGCAAAGTGGCAGGTCCAAAGTCAACTATCAAAATCTGTTGCATTTTTATATACAAACAAGAAGCAAAAAGAAGCAATAAATCCATGTGTAATTGCTTCAAAAACAATTAATCCCTCCAACTGGCCCGACGGAGCAGGCCCAAGAGCCCGCGCGGAGCAGCGGCCGTGACCGCCGGCCCTAGCGCGAGCGATGGCAGGAGCGTCCCGGCGGTGCGGCCCAGAGGACACAGACCTCTAACGCCATCCCCAGCAAGCACCAGCAATAGTTTTCAAAGAACTTAAAGAAAAATTTTGAAATTTATACGGAGCCAATAGAGGTTGACTAGAGAAAGCAAATCTGAGAAAAAGGGAGAGAGGCGCAGGCCTCAGATTTCACTCAAAGGACAGAGCCGAAAACAATATGATACTGGCACAAAGGCAGATACATGGATCAATGGAACAGAATCGAAAGCCCAGAAATAAAACCCATCACCCAGCAGCACCTACCGCATGACAAAGCAGCGGGCCACAGGCGAGCGGGTCTCGCTGCCGGGAAGGGCGGCCGGTCCCGCGCAAGCGCCAGCCTGGACCACGCTCTACACAAAAACAAAATCCAAGTGGGGTCAAGATTTAGTCTGTAAGTTATAAAGCTCTAAGTCCACGGCTTGAAATAGAATACACAGAAGGAAACAGCGGCTATATATCCCCTGACCTCAGCGATAAAGATGTTTTCGGAGACTTGACCCCTTTGGCACGGGAAATAAAAACAAAAATAAATTGCGAGTGGCCCACGTGAAGCGCTCTCACGGCGAAAGGCAAGTAAAAAGCGCTCGAGCAGACGGGAGAGCACACCCACCCCCTGCGCTGACACAGCCGACACCGGGAGGGGGGGGGGGCACGCCCAAGACATTTAAAAATGCAACTGAACCACAGAACCGCCCGGTTAATAAATGGGCAGCAGGTAAGACCCACAGTTCACTGTGGACACCCAGAAGGCAGAGTGGCCGCGGTCCTACGTGGCCCTCCTCAGGCCCCGAGGGCAGGCAGCCTTGGGGGCGTGAACTGGGGCCACTGTGAAGGAAAATGATCCGGATTTACCTTAAAAAACCAAAGACGTGGGCCTCCCACGTGGCACAAGGGTAAGCACAGCACTGTGAAGCTACGGGCACAGCCCGAGTTCAATCCCCAGCCAGGGAGTGACCCGCAGGGCGCGGCAGACCTCTCCTGACTCCTGCTGCTCCCCTCAGCAGTGGATTTCGTCAGTCTGCGTGTTCAGCTCCCCACTCTGTCTCGGGGGGATCCTCTCACCCCCGCCTCTGCAGGACCCAGCAGTTCCACCCTCAGGTGTCCACCCAAGGAACGCAACCCAGGTGCAAGAGGAGAGTCAGGACCGAGGGGCCGAGGGACGGTGCGGCCAGGACAGCGGCGCTTCCCAGCGCGGGACATGAGCTGCAGGTCCCAGAAACCAGCTGCCGCTTCCCATCGCCAGCAGCACTGAAGCGAAGGGGGGAGCAGGATAAAAGGGGGGCAGACCCAACCATTCACCCTCCCCCTCAAAAAAATAGAGGGAAAAAGAAAGAGCAACAGGTAGGTAGCGTGGGGAATCTTTATGTGTAACGCCGCCGCGACGTGTGTGTGCGGTGGGCAGAGGGGGGCCCAGCTCTGGGCGCCTCCCACCCTCTCACTCAGACCCCCAGGAACCATCAAGAAGCCGCCCTGTGCCTCAGCAGCCCTGTTCAGGCCCCGAAGTGTCCATCTTTCAATGCCTCGCCCGCCCGGCCAGGCCTGCTCTCTGGGATCACCCGGTGGGTCGGGGTGGGGGGCACGGGCGTGAGAGCACAGCAAGGAGTAACAGGGTGGGACCCCGGCTTGGTGTGGGGTGGAGGGGGTAGCCAGCTTCCCCCACCGCAGCAGCAAAGGGGAAGGTGGGGGGCGGGTGCGCCAATGCAAAGAAATACGCGTCTGCCTGCTGGAGCCACACACGTTTATTAGGCGCCGACAGTGTAGCCCGTGGGGACAGGCCCGAGAGGTGATAACCGCCGGAGAGCGCTGGCCCTCACCCTGGGAAGTCACAGTCTCGAGGAGGGTGGGTTGCAGCTTCGTCACCCACCAAAGGGATGGGGGGGGCTCCGGGGGGGGCCCAGTGGGAAGCCACTCTCCAGAAAGACCCCCAGGGGGGAGGGCAGGCCCAGGGGCCAGCCGCAGAGGCTAGAGGGTGGGGACACCGGGGTTGTCGCAGCCACAGGCTTCTCGCCGAGGTCCTGCTGCCGCTTTGGTCTGCGCCACGGGCAGGATGGAGGGGCTCTGTGAGCTGTCTGTGAGCTGAGGCCTGACTCGGGGGCTGCAGGACGGAGAAGCCCTGCCTGTTGCGGCCCTTGGGCACCATGGGCCTCTGGACGGGCCACAGGCTGGTTCTGGGGGCAGCAGGCTGATGGGCACCCGATTCTTCATGCCCAGAGTGAGAAGCTGCTCGGGGCGGGGCCTCAGGCCAGGACGGGCAGCGGGGGGCGGACGGGCACCTTGCCCTCAGCTCCCTCGCTGGACAGCAGCACACTGTGTGGGCTCGTGGGCGCTCCCTCAGCAGTCTTGTTGTGACAGATGGCCTGGAGGTGCCGCCATCTCCTGGCGCGGCCGCGTGGACAGGTACAGTAAATCCTCTGGCCTGGGCGGGCGCCTGGGGCGCCATCATGAATTAATCAGGCCGCCTTAAAGGAGCCCAGGGTGGAATCCAGTGTCCTGAGAAGCCACCTGCCGGGCCTTCGTTCAAAGCTGGACGTGACTCGACCCTGGTGGGCGCGGACAGGCCAGAGGAAGCCAGGTGGAGCCGGGCGTGAGGCACGCTCTCCCACGGAGAAGAGGCCGAAGCACCAGGAACTTCCAGTCAAGAAAATGACAGTAGCGAGGCCGTGGCGGGCTCCCGGGACACCCGGCCGGAGGCTCTGCGGACACCAGAGCGCAGACAGGCTGAGGGAGGAAGAGAGAGGAAAGTGAGGGGACGTGCGAACAGGATAAACGTGCGGCGTGCACACTCGCGCACACACACTCTACCCCAAGGTCACACGCAGGTGATGTCTTAACTGCAGCGGCCACAGCAGCAGTTCGTGTGTTTACGGACAACCGTCGGCTGACTCAAGAGGGAAGTCGTCACGGTTTTGAAAATGTGGCCCCTTCCTTTCTTGCCCGGGGAGATCGAGCTGTTCACAAAATGGGCTTGGAGCCCAATCCCCAAGGCCTCCCTGGATGAGACAAATCACCGGCCCAGCGTGGGCCTTGAGGGGGGCCTCAGCTGGCGAGGACAGGGCGCGCGAGGGCCTGCTGCCCGCGCCCTCCCTGAGCGCCTCCCGCCGTCTGGGGAGCAGGCCCAGGGACTGCGGCAGAGCAGGGCGGCTGAGCTGGGGTGAGCCGTCGTCGCTGCACCCCGCTGGCACAGGTCGGGGGCGGCCCATGCAGGTGGCACCACTGTCCTATCTGGGGCGCGGGGTGGCCGTCGCCCACCCCCGGTTCTCTGGGGCAAGGGCCCCGGGCACCAGCAGCATGACCGCTGCAGCTGCGCCATCTAGTGGTGAGGAGGTGGGGCCCCGGACACGGGTCCCCAGAGGAGCGAGGTGGGGGTGCCCCTGCAGAGACCTGGGACACTCCAGGAGACCTGCCCATCCAGCCGGCTGGCATCTGTCCTCCCAGGGATGGGCAGGTGGCGGCACACCCACCCTCACACGCTCGCCTTCCGCGCTGTCCAAAAACAAAACCCAGAAAATCCAGGTCAGGTCAGAGGATCCATTTTCTTCCCAAGGGGACCCAGCCAACCCCCTAACGCCGCCTTGCCCAGAGGCCCTACGTGCTCCAGCCTGGACCCCAAAAGTCTGAGGGTACCAGGGACCCTTCTCTATACTGCCGAGGAAGAGGCCTCAGAGGGAGCGCCTCCCAAAGCCCAGGGCACTGCAGGAAGCAGACCCGCCATCCCCAGCGACCCTGGCTCAGAGCCCGCTGGGCGGTGGCCTGCACCCCTCTAAGCAGCCAGCGCTGCTCGCTCCCATAGCCCTGAGAGGGGCCACCTGCTCCCCACTGAGGCACCCCCCGGCCGCACCTGGACCCGTCAGTCTCCCTTCTGCTCCCCCGCCTCCAACACCCCCACTTTGGTGGGAGCAGGCGATCTGGAGGGGGTGGTGCTCCCCAGGCCCCTGACCTGCTGCCCAGAGGCTCCGGCTCAGCCACCCTGAGCCCTCCTCTCCCAAGCGCCACAGAGGGCAGTGGCCTGGACCATGAGCCCAGAGCTCAACCCAGCCTGAGTTTAATCCCAGCTCCCCATGGGCAGCTGTGCAAGCTCGGACAAGTTATCTGGCCGCTCTGTGCCTCAGTTTCCCCAAAGGCCGCCATTAAGAGCCAATGAATTCAGGTGGCCCTGACATCTGGGGTGTGGCAGGCACATGAGGTGTGGAGGAAGCGAGAGGAAGCAGGCGAGGGGGCGGCGGCTTCCGTGACCAGCCTGAGCCGGGCAGGCTGTGGTGACCACCCTCCCTGAGCTCCCAGGAGGCCGGCGGGGAGGCCTCTCACTCTTCCAAGAAGGAGGCCCCTCCTGGGCCCCATAGGTGGCCCTGAGGTACAGCCTCAGCCCCCATGGCCATGGCCTCTCCCAGGGCCCTAGACAGTCAGGAGAGAGTATAGGCCCCCAGGACAAGGCGGGTTCCGCATAGGAATAGGAATTAACTCCAGGGCTGCCTGCAGCCAGCCCAGAGCCCCAGGAAAAGCCCCCACCCGCCTCCCCCTCCCCTCTCCTCCTTCCCTGTGCTCAGGCTCCAAGCCCAGGTGTTTGGGGCCTGCCCTGACCTCGGCCCTTGCTAAGCTCCATCCAGTGTGGCTGAGGGGCCCAGGGCCCAGAGCTGCACAGATGTTGGTGTTGCCATAGTAACGCCCTAACCGGTGGCGTTGTTTTCAGGTTACTAAGGGGCCACCTGGAGGAGCCCAGGGAGGCGCTGGTAGACGCCTGGGCTCCCCGCCACACACACACCTCCCGGTGCCTAGACCAGGCCGCTGGGTACTCTCTACGAGCCCAGGCCTCCAGACCAGTCATGGCCAAGTCCCACTGGGTGGCTAACTCTGATGACCCTCACGCCTTGGAGTAATAATAGCTCCACTTCGGCTCAGCGAGAGCAAGTGCAGATGCCTGCAGAGGCCAGGCCGACGCAGGGTGAATGACAGGCCAGGTGGCAGCAGGCGCCACGGCGGGCCTGTGGTTGGCCGACAGGGGGCAGCCGCCGCTCACCTTTGCCGCCTGAGGACAGGCCAGGGGCATGCCTGGGCGGCCAGAGGCTCCCAGAGAAGTGATGTCTCCAAGCCCTCGGACTGAGTCTCCTAATATGGAAACATGGCGGCAACAATATGCTTGACTTTAAAAGGACACTGTGTGTGGCAGACGCAGACCCAGCTCTGGGTGGGGTTGGGGGGGCTGGTTTCCACCCCTGCTCCACAATGGCGGCTGTCCACAAGGTCCCCACACGCGTGATGAGAGCCGTGCCCACTGAGCAGCAGGCACGGCTCGTCAGGCTTGACCCTGCCTGCGTCACGGCCCATTGCCCCGGGGCGCAGGGAAGCCATGGTGGGTGGTGGGCACTGAGGGTGGGGCTCGGATGCACTTTGACACCAAAACCAGGGGGCCTGATCCCCTGATTCGACCCTGCTCTGAGGACCGCCCCACTCCAGGCCTGTGGGCATCTCCTCGCTGTCCGCCAGCCCCTGCCCCTCTGGCCCACCCGCTGACACCTGCGCTTACTCAAATGACCCCCTCGACTGGACTGTCCTTCCCCCCACCCCCGTCACAGACGCTCCCCGCTTTCCTGCCCATATCTAGTCATGGAGGGGCCCTCTGAACCCCCACCCTCTGTCGGGATGCCAGCTGAATTTCCATTTGGCCTGTGACATTTAAAAATATCTGTCCGGCCCTGGCATATAGAATCCAACACCTGCTTGAATACCTCTGCCTCACTTGGCCCCTCGGGCCTGTGCTTCCAGAAAGTGCGTAAGCTGACCCAGAACACTGGGCCTCCCGGCCGTCCCCTGCTCTTAATTTGGCTCCCCGTCAAAGCCGAAGGCTGCAGCAGAGCCGCTCCTGACCCTACTAGGAGAAGGCGGGCGGGAGCGGGGCCTGGCGCGGAGGGGCCGTGGGGCCGGCGGGGAGCACATGCCGGCGGCGTGCGCAGCTGTCCTGCCCGCTCCCTGGCGCCCGACCCCGTGGCCCCTCGGGCCTGCTATTAATACAGCGCCAACAGGCGGCAGCTGGCGCAGCAGAAGCTGCCCACACGGACGGCGACAACTGGCCACCCCAATTTGGGCGCTCATGTTCCAAACATTCCTCTCAAGGGGCCTGGGGCCATGCACCCGCCCGCACGGACAGCGCGTCCGCTCCCTTCAGGGCCTGGGGCGACTCTGTCCCCACTGGGGCTGCCAAGGCAGGGCCAAGAAGCGGGTGGTGGTGTGAGGAGACCCCGGGGGCTCACAGGAGCCCAGGACCCTCACCCCAGGCCAACCTCGTGGGAAGGGAAGGGAACGCGAGGTCAGTGGCCCACGCGCAGTCTGCGGGGAGAGGGCAGCGCCCAGCCCCAGAAGAATGCCAGAGAGTGGGGGGCCACGGGGACACTGGGATTTGCTTGAAGACTCCCAAGAGCAGGGGGGCGGCCAGGGGACAAGAATGGCAGCTGCGCGGGGGCCCTGGGCCTCCTCACCTCAGTGTGCTTGGAGACTCCCATGACAACAAGTTTAAAAATACACACGCGGAAAGAAGAGTCGGCAAGTATGTGCTGATGGCCCAGGCTATGCTCGAACTCTCCCCCAATTCTTGATTTGTACAAAATAGGAGGCGGGCAAAGCCCCGGGGGCGCCCATCAGCACAGCACGGCCACGCGTGCCGCTGGCCCTCAGAGACATCTGAGCTCGTTCTTTTAAAAACTGACTATTTAAAAATACTCCAGTGAACCCCTGTGACCCTCCAGGCCCCAGAAGAAGGAACACAGCCGGTAACATCATCTCCTGGAAGCTGCGCCCCCTCTCTGCCCGCAGCGACCAGAGCCGCCGCCCGCCCTGCGCCCTGGGCCTCGCCTGCTCCTGACCGTGAGGAACAGGACTTGCCCACACGTCTGAGCCCGCGTGTTCAGGCAGAGGCTCTTCCCTGGCGCTTTCTGGCACCCGATCAAGAACAGAGAGCCCCAGGGGAGAGAAGACCCCAGCCCCTCAAAGGGCCCAGAGTGAGGGTCTCTCATCAAAAGGGGCCCTGAGGCGCACCGGGGAGATGGCGTGGGGAGCAGCGGCCGAGGCCAAGGGCAGGGCCCCGTCTCCCTGGGAGCCAGCGAGGGTCACGGTACAGACGGGCCAGCGCGACTGCATCTGCCGATTTATTATTAGAAGGCAAATGTCATGGAAAGAAAATATGCCCAAGTAATTCAGTCCTGTTGAAGCTCAAAGGCTCAAGTTGGCTGGAATCAGCCTCCGCCCTACAATCCTCAGCTAAAAGTTGCTCTCAACACCAGGCTCAAATCCCCGTGTCCTCTCTGCCGGGACATGTCTGTCGTCGGCGAGCCAAGAATGTGCCGCCCGGCACGGCAGGTGCACCCGTGCCACCTCCCGAGGGGTCGGCCGCACGCAGGGAAGGATCCCGGGGGACGCGGCGGCGCCGTCCGATTTTAGCCAGAAGCCGACGGCTGCTGGTACCACAGTCCTCCTAAACCCAGCCCGTTACATAAAGAAAGCGGCTGCCGGAACCGGCCGAGCCCAGTTATCGGGGCGCAAGGCAGAAATGGGCGACGTTGAGCTCGCTATTTCTCAGGGGCTGTCCATTTTCTCTAATGTCTAGGGCACTCTGGAGCTGTTTCCAGCACGTTCTTTCTGAAAATGGCCAGTCACCCGCTGGACCCGGCCTTCTCTCCTCAGTCCGTTCTAGCTCTCGAGGGCGGCCAGCGCGGGAGTGGGGGGGCCCG